CAAACTGTGTAACCTATATTTTAATTGGATGTATTTTTTTTATTTTTTTTTTTTTGGTGCATATGATATTTTCATATCAATTTCTTGATGGCATTTATGGAAACTTGACTTTGGTTGAATAGATGCAACTCTTCATTAACCTTTTAACTTACGGAAAATATCTAACCATTTATAGTAATTAGTGTTGGCCGTCAGTTTGTTTCTTGGGCCAAACAAACAATTCTACTCTGGTCACCTATCACGGTGTCAATAAAGAAAATTGTCTACAAATTTAATTTGGTTAATACATAATTTATTTTAGGTCTTATATGTATAAATTTATTATATAGAATAAAAGTTTGTTCTCTATGACATACATATATATTCAAATATGTAGAGTATAGAGTTTGATTTTTTTGGTTTACAAAGTATATGTCAATTTGTGTACTCATTTTTTTTTTTTTTTTTTTTTTTGATTTTTACTTGGTCCACAGCCTCCCACGTGGAGTGGGGGTGCTGGAGGTCACCCCCCAACTGGGGGTCCCCAGCACGGCTGTTTAATTTATAGTGTTAATATTGATGTGCATCTTCAGCACCTTTGGGAGGTTATCACAATATTGTGAAAAGAGATCCTTCATTGTCCTATCCAAATGTTCTTGTATGACACGTTGTGTCTTGGTTTTGGCTATGTGGTATCAAAAGATAGGTTGATGTTAAAGAATCCAAGGTCAAAGTTATCAAACAGTAGCTAGTACTTTAAGTAGCATAGACACGACACAAACATGCTGACACAATAGTTTTCGAAAAATGCAGGACACGATACGCTTGGGACACATTAAAAATTTATTATATGTCAAATAAATGAATAGTTTGTTCAAATGCAATGAAATAAAAACAGCGTAAAATTATTTAAGATTGAAAAATCATATATTCCATAGCTTAAACATCAAGATACTATTCATGTAACCATTACATTATAAAGAACGCAAAACAATTATAGAACTTTCAAATACTAATGAAGCATTCATTTTATAAATGTTCCAAAAAAATTGAAACATATTTAGAGTATATAAGTTACATTATGAAAAATGCAGAATATTGTTACTATGAATAGATTCATTACTTAAGTTGTGTTTGGAGGATTTAAGAAGTGTCGCTGAAGTATAAGAGATGTGTTTGTGAAGTGTCTGATATATGAATTTAAATTTTTTGTTAAGAAGCATTGAAAAAGTGTATGCTTTTAGTAGTGTCTAAAAAGTGCCATGTCTGACACAACATGACTCCTCCATAGAACTGTTCATGCTTCTTAGCTCCAAAGACTGTTCACGAGGTATGAAGTTTCCATGGGTTGGTATCTCTCTAATGAAGGTTTATTTTGAGTTTTAGCAATATCATGGTGCTAATAACTAACTGTATGAAGATAGAGAAGTTCATTTGGACAGATGCAGCAACCAAGACATTTCATCAAATTAAACAAAAATTTATTATAGTCCCTGTGTTTACCCTTCTAGATTTTTTCACAGCCATTTCAACTGCATTGTGATGCTTCCAAGGTCAAAATTAGAGTTGTATTGAGCCAGAATGGCCAACTCATAGCATAGTTCTTAAGGAAGGGAATGGAAAGTCCACCTTCGTGTAGGCAAAAAGAAGCCCTTTTCGTGCAGGTGAGTTGTGACCATCAAAGTCTGATCATAATCGTATGACAAAGATAGTAGCTATGAGCCCAACTTCTCTCTCAGTATTTCAGAACTGCACGATGGCCTGGTCCCACTGAAAGGGAACGGTCCTCTAGGGAACGACAAGGGGTGGCACTAGCAGGACCTATTGTGAGTGACATGGCTGCAAGAAAGTGGCCTGATTGTCTCATGCAAGATAGTTTTCTAGTTAAACAAATTGACTTTGTTTCAGAGAAGTTTGCGCCTCAAAACTATAAGCAAATTGCATTATGAGGGCCACATTGTGGGGCATGATAAAACCTTTCAAGTTGGTGGTAGGTTCTCATTTTTGGCTGACCATGTACAAGAAAAATGCTAAATATGTAGATGGTTAATGGATTTGTCAAGTTTCTAAAGGCACTGCATCCAATGCAGCCTTGTATATGCGCCTTTCCAATTCCATATCAGCCTTGGACTACTGTCAGTATGGATTTTTTTTTTTTTTAGGTTTGCCTTGTACACAAAAAGGCAATGATTCAATCTTTGTGGTTGTGAACAGATTCTCCCAGATGACCCACTTCATTGCATGCAAGAAGATGACTTATGTTGCTAATATGTCCTAACTTTATCTTGAACCTGGAATGAAAAATAGATCTTGTCATCAGTTTGACTAAGAGTTCCAAATCAAAAAAGTAAATTGAACTTGACTTAACCGAGTGCTGGAAAAACAGCTTCCTTGAGGCTTCAAACTTCTGACAGAGACACTTCTTAGCCACTTTTGGAGGTGTTAGTAGCATCTATCGTCATATGAAAAATGGTAATTTCAGGCTCAGTCCAACATTGGAAGATTTGTAGAAAGGTACGGGCCAACGAGTAAAACCCACCACTTGACTGTGACATGGGCTGAATTTGGGGGAATTTCATCATTTAGGCATCCAAATTAGTGATTTTGCCATTTTAGGAAAGATTTGTCTTGCTTATAACTTCTAGAAAATTTCATATTCAATGCCATTTGTTTTGGCACATTTTTTGTTTTCTTTGTAGTATCCAAATTTGAGTTATTGGTAATTTTTAAATTTTCATTGATTTAGATATAATTAGTAAAGAACTACCTTAAAAGGTTGTTTTGTAATGACTTCTCGGTCTTTGCCTTCATTATATATATCAATGTTAGCCTTTGGGTAATCAGTTTTAAAGAATGATACAGAATTTGAGGGAGTTTCTCTACCCCTTTGATCCTGTCTTTCTGGTACTCTTTTTTGAGTCAACAAAATTATAGAAAAGTTGTGTTTTGGTGCTAAAGATTCTACTCTTACACATTTTCGACACATCAGATAATGATCTAATCAGTTGAGAAGTGAAGTTTGTGACGGTGAATATCATGCATCTAATTGATAGTTTTTTTTAACCTGCTTAGACTATTTATTGCATGCGTGTGTGTATGCTTGCACATGCTTGTGTGGATGGGTTTAATTTCTAATGCTGCCTAAGTACTTAATTAATTATCATGCAGGTTCAACATCCCAACCTCAAGAAACATCTACAGCTGGCAATTCTAAGAAAACTTTGTTTTCAAGATCTGCCCCATCTAACGCGACTCTGGGAGGAAAAGCTTCTCTGCAGCCCAAAAGAACACCGGTCTCTCAAGAGGAGATTGAGTATATTTTGGTATGCAAGTCCTCCTCTATGTCACCTTTGTTATGTGATTTTTTGTGTTACCTGGAGTTCAATCCTGTGCTTGATTTGCTAACCATACACCAGTATCAAATTGAAGAAAAAGTGGAAAATTGGACCATATATAATGGAACATGATCCATTCTTAAATGGCATCATTCAGTAGTGAAATTAGGTTCCTTCTTTCTTGTTAACATCTCCACACAAGGCAACAATCATAGCCGTTGTGACTGTTCGGTTTTTATAGTTGTACTTCCTTTCCATCCGTAGTAGTACTTTTATACCATTTATTTGGGGTAGGTTGGCTCATGATTGTGTTTTCTGTTTCCTGTATTTGCAATTTTATGCACCATTTGTTTTGTTGACAAATATTTTTCTATGGAAATTTTTTCTATGAAAGACATTTTCCGCATTGTTTTCTTGTGTTGCCTGCAATCTTGAAACTGATGTGCTAGTGGTTTTGGTAAAGATGGTGGCAATGTTAAGGCTTTAGTGTAGAAAATTATTTTCACCTTTAAAAGGTTGAAAACTTTTTGTCCAAATAAGCTATTTTTTTACTTTTTTTGTTGATTTTCATTTTCCATCATAACAAGCACCAGAAAATACGAAAAACATTTTTCTCTGAAACAAACTGAGTCATTCTTGTTATGGGATTTTGTATCTTCTGGCTCTTGCATCCACTTTGGTCCAACCCCTTTCGCTTTCACAATAACCACAAAAACCTGTTTAACAAGTGCATTTGAAGGGCTTTTTACTACACCATCAATGGTGAAACCCAACGAGGATTCTAGTCATACTCTGGATGAGGAACTTTTATTTGGATCATTATTGGAGGAATAAATACTGCAGTTGACATCGAAGCTTCAATTCTTGGTTAATGTTTTTTTCTACTGAATTTATTTCTTCAAAAAAATTATTGATTGATATATTTATCTTTCTATTTTGTTTTTTGGCAGTTGGGTGGCTGTATCTGATTTTGACATGGAGCCATGTGATAGGAGGTCATTGGTTGACGGTTCTTTGGTTTTCATGTATAATTTCTTTTTCTTTTTCTGTTTTCTTTCAGCAAATATTAGAAACCTATAGAAAACTATTATATTGTTTGGAGATTTTGAGTAATTGATCAACTAATTGATATCTTTAATGACTGAAATGCTTAAAAAAGGAGAGGAATTGAAGTCCTGCATTACATTTGGCTTCCAAACTTTGCACCGACTGTTCCTCTAAAACATTTTCTGATGCTTCATGGAAGTTTGTAATATTGTATAACTTTTTGAGTTACTTATTTGTTAGTATTTATTTTGATGACACATAAATTGGTTCTAATGGAATGAGATATCAGGATGAGCACTTTGTGTTTATTAGATTTAGCAGATTGGTGTTGTTACTAACAACTGAATGATGACTATGATGATGGGTCAAGCCTGTAGGGACAACTGGCTGATTGATTGTTGTGGGAGGTAATTCCACCCAGCCACGTTGCTCGGCTGAGCTAGTTGGGCAGCGGCAAATACATGGCCTAAGGTTCGACCAGCGCATATGGTCAAACATTGGGTCAGATGCATGGATTTCATGATCAAGACCAAGCAAAGAGCATGAGTCTGCAAAGTGTGGGATTATGCTCACCGCATTTGGAAAAATTGCAGAATGTGGGACACGATCTTGCCTGTAGGGCTGAACGTGTGCAAGTAGTTAGAAATTCTCAACGGCCAATTCAGATATTATAAGATATCCAGCCCAAGGACTAAAGTAGGCAATATCAAACATTATTGTTGTTATACTTTGAGAGTTCACTCCTGCAGTCTACTGATGACTTAAGCTCAATACATATACATAGGCATACATATTGGCATTGCAGAAATGAAATGACTCTGGTTTGGGAATGAAACAATCATGATGAATCCTTATTCTCAAGCAAAGGTTCAAGTACAACAGACCTTGGGCTAACCATTGGAGGACCCTTTCCCCGGCGTTCAAGCTCGTCAAGCCTAAACGTGATCAACCTATCCCAATTCCCACCCTCAAAAAGCACCCCAGCCTTCCCATCTGTGATCCTCTGTACAATGCCACAATACATGTAATATGGGTTGTTTGGATTCTTCACAATAGCAATCATACCAGGCATTAACAATGGCAATTCAGGTGGTTTTGGCTTCTTTGTCAAGCTCTGATTGAACCCAATTGTTTCCAATTCATTAACTTTTGTTGATCTCTTTGGAGGAGGTGGGTTTTTCTCAATGAATTGTTGGAGACCCTTTTCACCACCTGGGAATCCACCAGTCAAGCCCTGTAGCTCCTTTTCAAATGCATTTTCTGGGATGATCTCGCCTGTTGATGCTGTTGACTCTTCATGATCTTTGGTGGGAATTGGTGGTGGTGGTGGTGGTGGTGGTTCTTGGGTTGTTATGGTCTTTTTGAGTTCTTTTTCGAGGCCTTCTTCACCATTGCAGAGACCTCTGCCTCCCAAGATCTCAAATGGGTTGAATTTGGCAGTTGTTTTTAGGGTAAGGGTGGGAATTGTGGAAGATGGGGTGGAGGTGGTAGTGGAGAGGTGGGTTTGGCCCAGGAAATGGGATTTATGGAGAAAAGAACCTTGAAGGATTGGGAGAGTGAAAGAACAAGCCATGGATTGTAATTGTGGTACTAACAAATTAGAACTACATGATGAGGAGAGAGAAAAGACTGTCCTTTTTAAATTGTGGCCACAAATGGGTTTTGTGGGACAGTCCTATCTTCACGTCTTATGTGATGCAGCCACTTATTTTTGGCACTTCATGTTTATTTATTGGATTAGATCGAATTAAACTATATGTATGATAAGATTGGTTGATAAATTAATTCCAAGTTGGCTTATTAGATGAAGCTTGAGACTTACTCTTTTCAGGTCTAAAGTTTAACTCTCATTAAGTACTATCAACTTGTCTCATCCGCGTGGAGCGAGTATTTTGCACTAGTCTCGGGATTAGTCAAGGTGCACATGAGCTGATCCGGAGATCTGATCATAAAATAAAATAAAAAGATTGGCTCATAAAGTACTTGGTGCGGTATTAAGTTAAAAATATAAGATAAATTATGCTTATTTGTATATTGATGTTAAGATATTAGTTTGATGAAATTATGTGTATGATAAGATTGCATGATGATATTACTCGGTGCATAATTAAGTTAAAGATGTTAGATGGATTATGTTTATTTATAGGGTCGTGCTATGTCGCCCGAAAAAATAGGGCTCGAATGGCTCGAATATTTTTTTTTTTCTTTTTCCTTTCTCTTCCTTGCCCCTCTCTCTCAAACACACAACAGTTTTTGAAGAAGATGAAGATGAAGATGAAGAAAGAAGAAGAAGAAGAGACAAGAAAGAGAGAGAATTAACACATCATCATCATCTTCAACAACATCAACACACAAAGAGAGAGAGAATCAACATCATCTTCATCAACATCATCTTCATCAACATCATCATCATCATCATCAACAAATTTTTTTTTCCTTCATCTACAAATCCAGATCTACTAGAAAAAAAGAGTAGAGAAAACAGTCTGAAAGAGGTGATCGACGATACCCACCGTCAATCTTACGCCGCCATCACCGTCAATCTTCCTTCTCTTCCTCCTCCATCATCACCGCCATCGCCCCTTCTCTCCTCTTCTCCTCTCTTCCTCCTCTCTTTCTCTGGCCTCTATGTTTCTCTCTCTTTCTTTCAAACCAAGTTTGAGGAAAAAATAAAAAAAAAATTTACCAAAACAATGTCGTTTTGGAATTCGAGGCATTCGAGCCGTTGCAATTTCGTGCTGAAAAAAAAAAAAAAAAAAAAAAAAAAAAAAAACTTTGCCAAAACGATGTCGTTTTGGCATTCGGGGTATTCGAGCCGTTGCAATTTCGAGCTCTCACGCATTTTCCTTATTTATATACTAGTATTAATGATATTAGTCGGTGACTTTATTGTTTTGTAAAGTGAGGGCAAGTGGTACTTTCACTTCTAATTTCATGATATTGGATTGCGAGTCCTAACTACATATGGGATTTTTTTTTTAAAAAAAAAAAAAATATCAATAGTAATTTCTATTAAAGTAAGGTAAATCAAATGACACTTACAAGGAGATCAATTCAACAAAAAAATTTACACCAAACTAAGGAATAATCCTTAAATGAAACACTAAAAAGAAGCTATGTATATATCAAGACGCAAAATTTGTGCTAAACCAAACCTAATCAAGTTTTAAGTTCCATCAAACGGGGTCGGCTGCATGAATCATTCTTCTCTACTCGACTCTGTGTAAGGTCATTTTGTTAGTCAAATTAAGGAGATTCATATCTCTATTTACTACACTAGTCCACGTCAATCTAGGTCTACCCCTTCCCTACCATGTACCGTCACTGTATTGCATCTCTTCACTACTACCTCTGTAAGTCTCCATTGTATATGACCAAACCATCTCAATCTATTGTCTCTCAACTTATCTTCTATTAGTACTACTCCTACCCATTTTCGAATATACTCATTTTTAATTTTGTCTTTTCTAATTTTGCCACACATCCACCTTAGCATCCTCATCTCAGCAACACTGATCTTATCTACATATTGTTTCTTAGTTACCCAATATTCCGTCCCATACAACATCGTTATTCTAATAGCCGTTCTATAGAACTTCCCTTTTAGTCTAATGGGTACTTGTTTGTTAATCATATGGTTTGATTTTGATGATGTCTAAAATATTATGGGATAAATTGTGATTTTAATATACATATTTTATATTCTTTGACACAAAATATTATCTGTTAAAATATATATTGTATGATATATTTGTTATAAATGTTATTTAAAGATTATACTATACATATAAATATTTTAATAGAAAAGTTATTGCGTAGTCAAATATTTTAATAGAAAAGTTACAATGTAATCATTGTGCATCATTTGATTTTACGGTGGATGTTTTGAAAATTTTGTTTTTACTATTTATCGAAAGTGACCTTTGGCTATATTTTTCCATCCTCTGCCTACAAATTTTGAAAAGAAAAATTAGCATGTGATCCGAGCGGCGCAACATGGCGAGTCAAGAAGAGGAGCGTCCCTCTCTCAACGGATATATTTTTGTATATATATAGAAGTGTTTTGGTTGGAAAAAATAAGAAGTGAAGAAGAGAAAAATTTGTAATATTATCTGAGAGGGAGATTAATGTTACAGAGTTATGCCGAACAGATTTGGGCCGGACAGAGTTGTGCTGGACAGATTTGGGCTCGACAGAGTGTTGGGCCGAGGATGTGTGGCCCAATTTGGAAAGAAGTTGCTCGGTTAAGGCAACGCTTGGTTGGACTGAGCTACATGTTTGACGGAGGCGAAGCCAGTCAAGTTAAGTGACCGGCGCCCGGAAAGGCGTGGTCAGCTGAGGTACCTGTGTTGCTCGGCTTTGTCGAGATGTTGCCTAGCCCGGTCCTTATTAAGCTTAGCTAGTGGAGTGCTTGGATATGAAGCACAGCACGACCGTTGGCGGACAAGATGGTGCAGCTCGGCTGCCGAGCTCCCAGCAGAGTGAGCGGGCAGTTGAGATTAGGTGATGCTCAGCAGGATTTGTGCTGACAGATGGGATAGCAGAGCCACGTATCGAGGGACCATTGGGAGCAGGTTTGGGACGCAGAAGGGTATATAAGCATGTCTGCACCCCCCATACGAAAAGACGAACACTTTGTAAGGAACTCCTACACTCAAACACTCTCTCTCCTCTCCCTAAGGTGTGTGCTAATTAGATCGTCGGAGGGGTTTTCCGACCACACACCGCCGGGTAGCTCACCCTCATTGTGCTTTCAGGTGATCGGACAGAAACGGAGCTTGGAAGAAAGGAGTACGGGCTTGCTGAAATATTTGCTCCCCGCACAATTAGCGCCGTCTATGGGAAGCTTGCAGATAAAACCTTGTCTTCCACGCTCGTCTGACCGCCGACCATGGCGAACAATGAAGAGTTTCCATTGTCTGCCATAGATGGAGCAACCCCGGAGTTTACCCGACGGAGAGAAGGACCTCCCGCCATCCATCCAATGGCGGACTTGGAGACACCCACTGGAGGACAGTCAGGAGACGCGCGGGATAAGCGCGGGAGAAGTTATGGTCATTCACGAAGTCCGGACGGTCATTGGCGGCGGAGAGAATCACAGGCCCGACGTTTGGAACACAAGTTGAGGGACCAAGACGCTGTCATCCAACAAATGGCGGCTGAGATGGAGGAGCTCAAGCGGCATGTCAAAGGGAATGGTGTAGCTGGAGTGGGTGACCACAGTAAGCGCCCCCCATCCCGCCGTTCAGGTGGTCAGAGTCAGCGACGCACTCCAACCATTTCTATTACCAGAAGTTATCAAGTTGGTGATTCCGACGTGCATGTAGAGAAGTCTAGCGTGCAAGATAGCACTTAACGTCCGGCAACGACGTCGAAGTACTCTCACTCCGCTCATTCAGAGGATTTGCGGGCGGTCTTAACGGAGCGGGCTCGCCGACGTGAAGCTCAAAGGTTACCGACGTTCCAGCAGCTATCCTACGGGGTTCACGCTAATGAGGAGGTCGGAATGCCTCCACCCTGCCAAGCAGCGCTGCTCTTAGTGGATTCAGATTTGGCCAGGCTAAGTGCCACCCCTTTTGCCCAGGAAATAGAAACAACACCGCTTCCGGCGGGCTTCCACCAGCCAAAGTTCACGCTTTACGATGGGAAAACCGATCCTTACATGCATGTGAGCCACTTCCGACAGGTTATGGCTGGACATAGGCGAAATGACGGACTTATGTGCCTGATCTTCCCGTCAAGTTTAGGCGAGTTGGGCTTGAAGTGGTTCGAGAGGTTGCCGGAAGGGAGCATACAATGGTGGCATCAGCTGGCCGAAGCCTTTGTGACGCGCTTCAAAACCAACACAAAAACACCAAAGGAAGTCGATCATTTACTGAGTGTCAAGATGGAACCGAGCGACACATTGAAGGCATACAACTCTAGGTATTGGGAGACCTTCAACGAGATCTTAGATTGCCCGGTCAACCTTGCAATCACTCAATACAAGCGTGGACTGCCGGTCGGATATAGACTGTGGGACTCGCTTACCATGCACCAACTGACCTCTATGGGCCAGCTCATGCAGCGCATCAATGAGCACATCCGAGTTGAGGATGATGTGTCGGCATCTACCGTGAAGGCAACTCCGGTAGCAACAGACAAGAAGACAGCAGGCAAAGTGCACGCAGTTGGGCAAGATTCCAGCCGCTCAAGCGACCGCGCAGAGGAATCGGACCGTGGCTCGAATCGCAAAAACCGGGGTAGAGGACGTCGAAACGACCGGGATGACTACCCCCGAGATGACGTATCAGATGCAAACAGATGAATGAAGGCAAGGACTGGCATAACCACGGTCTTCAAGATTCCGATCTATCGCATCCTTAGTGAAATCCGAGACGAGGAGTATGTCCGGTTTCCTGCTAAGTTGGGCGATGGACAAAAAGGCTACAATCCGCGGTATCGTTGCACATTCCACCGGGAGAGAGGCCACCGGACTGAGGATTGTTTGCCTTTGAGGCAACACTTAGAAGAGCTGGTCGCGGCCGGGTACCTAGACCTTTACATTGATGGCGGCGTAAAGCCGAATCAGGCTCCGGTCTATCCCAGGGGACAGGATGACCGAGACGC